CTTCTCTCAGACAGGCACAAACAAATGGTCCCTTTTAAGGACAAGCGGGCTAACCCAAATTTCGGGGGCTTCCAGAAATCTTGATCTACACCAAAAGTGGGCATTGCCTACCTATAGAAGAAGTTTCGTTTCATTGGAGTGGTTTAGTTGTTGAGAAAACTCTTCTTGTCTTTTAAAGAAACTGGACAAGGGGCAAAAACTTCACCTTCGGTTTTCTCTAAACAGAATTTTTCGGGATAGCCTCATTTTGCTTAAAAGCGACCATATTTTATTTTATTTCTTTAAAAAAAGGAAGGTCAACCTATTTTCCAAGAACACACACTAATAATACACATGCATACACGTATCAATAACAGTTGGTCGATGCTGAGCTGAGCATGTCTTTTAACACAGAACTAGGAAAGCAAGATTTAGAACTTGATAGTAAAGCCAGCTTACTGCGAGGGCTAACATGATAAAGAGAGTAAGGTAAAGGAAACAACAGCAAGCAACTTGTAATGATCACATACGTCACAACTTGTCGCAGATAGCAGCGCCTCTCCTTTCCCTTTCTCAAAGTGGTGGGCTTATCTGTCTAAACATATCATTATGGTTAGTTGGTTAAACCTTTTTATGGCTTCGTTTCAGACCTTCGAGTGCAATTCTTTTTTTTTTTAAAGCACTTTCCACAAATAGCGCTTGTGGTCTGTATAGGGCCAGTGTCAATGTTAGGATTTGACTGTCAAGATTTTCTTACTTTTCCTATCTACCTCTTTTTTTCCTTTTTTTTTGGGGGGGGGGGGGTAAGTGATTTACGGCGCTCGCAACTGCATAAGGTCATATGAGCGCGCGGGACACTTTAAACGTTTTTCAGTTGGTAGGAAATTTTAAATTTTGCCCGGGTGGCGGCCGAAGCCTACTCTTATCGATTTTATACCACCAAGGAATCTTTAACGTGCGCAACTTGCACCCGGGCCCTCCGAGATTTTTCGCCCTTGTCCAAGAAGGCTAGGTGTAGATCTTTCCTACTAGAAGATCAGGGGTGTGGCTGAGAAAGCCTGCAGAAAGAGTCAGGAGCCCAGAGGAGTGGACAAAGGAGGTGAGGGGGATGGGGGCAGAAAGTGGAGACGAAAGCAGACGACAGAAAATTGCTAGAGAGCAGGAAAGGAGGTGAAAGGATAAACATTTTGGAGAAGAAAACTGTTTCCGTCTCTTCTCGGATTCGAACCCGGGACCTTTGAATGAGAGGCCAACACCTTAACCTCTAGGCCGTGAGAGCCCCCCTGATCACATACGTCACAAGTCGCCGCAGATAGCAAAGCCTCTCCTTCCCCTTCCCTTTTCCAAAGCGGCGTGCTTATAATCTGTCGAAACATATCATTATGGTTAGTTGAATTAACCTTTTTATGGCTTCGCTTCTGACCTTCAAGTGCTTTTCTTTTTTTAAAAGCATTTTCCACAAACAGAGCCCTTATTGCGGTCTGCAAAGGGCCAGTGTCAATGTCAGTATTTGACTGTCTTGGTTTTCTTACATCTCTGGCTACCTTTGCCTTACAAACACCGATTTACCACCAAAAATTTTTTCAAAAAATGAATGAACCAAAAAAAAAAAGTATTTTTAAAAAAATCAAAGCCCCATGCTGCTACTTGTCATAGCCTTTTGCGCTTAATATGATAATTTGAATAAACGGTAAAATGGTACGGGTTTAACACCCCTATCAACACTAACACTATTACGTTATTTAAGAGGCCGCGATAATATGAGAGACAGATAGAGAGTGAATGAGAAAGAGAGAGAGAGAGAGAGAGAGAGAGAGAGAGAGAGAGAGAGAGAGAGAGACAGAGACAGAGACAGAGACAGAGGCAGAGACAGAGACAGACAGACAGACAGACAGACAGACAGACACAGAGAGAGAGAGAGAGAGAGAGAGAGAGAGAGAGAGAGAGAGAGAGAGAGAGAGAGAGAGAGAGAGAGAGACAGACAGAGACTCAGTCACTCACACATAGAGATAGATACATACAGACATACAGAGAGAGAGAGGAAGAGA